ATGCTGTAGCGAGCAACGAAACGCGCAAAGCGCAGCGCAAGCACTTTATTACCTCTCCTTTTCCGGACAACCCGCAGCGTCGATAGTTTTTTTTTTCTTTTTATTTATTTATTTTATTTTTCCACGTTGAGCAAATGCGCGCCCGTATTTTTGCACGCCCGCGAGCGCGGCTATCAAGTGGGAAGTACATTTTTCAAAAGATCTGTCTTCTGATGGAACAATGGGTCAGAGCTTTTTTATTAATGGCACAATCGCACAATTTTGCATGAATTGACGGGTAAAAGCTTTGATGTGCTTGCGCGATGCGTTTCTTTTTTTTGTGCGAGCCGAAATAAATTTATTTGAGCGATATACATTTTTTTCGTCTTTTTTATCTGGTCAAATATAGTGCGCTTATTTTTTGGGAAAGTCAGCATTCGATGCAGTATTATGATTCTAATTTTACAATCAATTACAATCATACAAATGATTGTGATTTTTCTTCTCACCTTTGATAAGTATTAAATACACAAAAATCTCATAATCCCGAGCACATAATAATAATTATTCTTACTATCTATTTTCAACTCAACGCAATTTCCTCTCTCGAACGGAAAAAGTTTTTCTCTCCGGCAACGCGGGTATATAAGTAAAGTCTCTAAACGACATACTGAATCAGCTTCCTCGTATTCTCTTTGAAAGTGGTATAAAAGCATCCCATAAAGATTTGAATGAAATTCCCACTCGTTTTATTACATATACGCGGGTAGGTTGCGCGACAAGGCGGTCTCTTTGAGCTTCCTTTGACTCAAGAGAGAGAGAGAGAGAGAGAGAGAGAGAGAGAGAGAGAGAGAGAGAAAAGATGCGCGACTCGCTGCGCTGGGCTTTGTATATATACCTATAAGTCCTATACGTATAAGTATATATGGGTCAAAATAATACTTTTTTACAAAACCGTGCGCACGTATGTCACCGATCTTGACGCGCTTTTGGTATGTTATAGTACATGGTAAAAAGGTCCCAAAAAAAAATTTTTAGACCCCCTCCCCCCTCCTACCCCCCACTTCCGGTATAAACGTCCATTTTCGATCTATATTTTTTCTGAGGACATGAAGCAAGTAAAAAATCTGAAAAAATTCATAAAAATACTTTTCCACAATCCAAACAACCTTGAATTTTTTCAGATTTTTTGAGTGCTTCAGGCCTTCAGAAAAAATTATTGAAAATTTCAAAAATCGAGATACGGCGGTATGAGCCGATGTAGTACTCGGAAATTTTTTCAGTTATTTTTCGCATTAAAAAACATAACCTCAATTTTTTTCAGATTTTTTCAGATTACCTAACGCACCTTTTGAAGCCAAAAACCGATTTTTTTGACGAAAATAATTTTTTTAGGACAGTACGGAGCCTCGAAAAATCTGAAAAAAATTTTTTCTTGTTTTTTTCATCAAAATACGTAATCTCAAATTTTTTCAGATTTTTTAATTGAAGGCGATAGCTTCTAGGGCCGAAAAATGCTATTTTTAACAAAAAATGGTTCCTAGAACCCGATGGTTCCGGTGAAAAAATTTGAAAATATTTTTTTTGAATTCCTTGTCAAATTTTAATAAATTTTGACCGTTTCAAAAGTTCGATTGAAGCTTCCTAGCTCATTTTAGAGCATCAAACGAGTTTTATCATTCCTTAATGTCTTCAGAAACGTCTTCAGATATTTTGCACTAATCTTTGTCCTGCTCTAAAATGAGCTAGGAAGCTTCAATCGAACTTTTGAAACGGTCAAAATTTATTAAAATTTGACAAGGAATTCAAAAAAAATATTTTCAAATTTTTTCACCGGAACCATCGGGTTCTAGGAACCATTTTTTGTTAAAAATAGCATTTTTCGGCCCTAGAAGCTATCGCCTTCAATTAAAAAATCTGAAAAAATTTGAGATTACGTATTTTGATGAAAAAAACAAGAAAAAATTTTTTTCAGATTTTTCGAGGCTCCGTACTGTCCTAAAAAAATTATTTTCGTCAAAAAAATCGGTTTTTGGCTTCAAAAGGTGCGTTAGGTAATCTGAAAAAATCTGAAAAAAATTGAGGTTATGTTTTTTAATGCGAAAAATAACTGAAAAAATTTCCGAGTACTACATCGGCTCATACCGCCGTATCTCGATTTTTGAAATTTTCAATGATTTTATCTGAAGGCCTGAAGCACTCAAAAAATCTGAAAAAATTCAAGGTTGTTTGGATTGTGGAAAAGTATTTTTATGAATTTTTTCAGATTTTTTACTTGCTTCATGTCCTCAGAAAAAATATAGATCGAAAATGGACGTTTATACCGGAAGTGGGGGGTAGGAGGGGGGAGGGGGTCTAAAAATTTTTTTTTGGGACCTTTTTACCATGTACTATAACATACCAAAAGCGCGTCAAGATCGGTGACATACGTGCGCACGGTTTTGTAAAAAAGTATTATTTTGACCCATATACGTTGTTGCATGAAAAATTCGAGCCACGATCGCGCCAGGATGTGTAAGGAGTCTTCTATCCCAAAGCAATCGAGCGCAGAAGTCGAGCAGAAACGATAGATTTCATTTGGATATATCAATTGCAGCTGATCGTTGCTGCACGATTGAATGGTATTACTTTCTTTTTCAGTTCGAATAAATATTATAATAAATTTGAAACAAATCTACGAGAGCTGCCTTTCATTATTATATTACTTGTTTAGCATTAACGAACTCATCAGCGGGACGAGGTTCGTTAATATACTCCATGCAAAAATAACAACGAAACTCTTCGATCGACTCGTTTCTCTCTCGCTTCATCGATAAAATCATCCGCGATCATCTCTCGATAACGCAACACTCGACGGGCAGAAGCGAGGCAAAGCCAAAATAAAATCGTTCGCGTTTCTCGTCGCGTAAAGCTCCGTACGTGTGAAAATTAACCGAGCGTGTAATCGCGTTATGATTGCTTCTCAACGCGTACACCGCACTGCAAGAATCACGCGCGTTACTCTCGCTCAGCTGCGTACAACGCCCCTATTATGGCACGCTTTGCGAGTGGCGGCATGCAAATGTCAGTGTTGAGTGTATATAGAGTTTCGGGTAGAACAGCACGCGTATTCGCGAAAACGATTGCGATCGCGAATGAAACGAATCATCATTTTTTATACAGATACAAAATAACTGCTGGCGTTAGATAGCATAATTATATACTATTATTCACTGCTATTCGTTTACTTTTAATTACGTTCGCTCTGCTGGGCATGCAATCTAGCCTATACGTATGCTTGCACATGGTCAGCTTTGTTTATTTTTTTGCCATTAATTAATCTGGATATTATAAATCATGCAATATATTTATGCATACGAGAGATATCGTTCGTATTATCATGTAAAGTTGAGCGTTGAATAAAATAATGAAGCCGAGATCCAGTTTCATTGTTACGAGAGGATATTGTTGAAATTTAGCTGTAATTTTGCACTGTTGAAATTTGGTAATATTTTTCCGCAGGGCCGCGCGAATAATTCAGGCGCCGCTGAGTGACACGAACGATAAAAGATTCCTTACGATTTCCTTGGGAAAAATTTTTACCGACAGAAGGAATAAACCTGGATATATACCCCCGCAGCAGTTACGCAATGAAAGAAGCATCTCTGCAGCAGTAAAACGCGCGTCTCGATCAGTTGTTTGAGGCAATTACCCGTCTTCCGAAAGAAAAAAAGGTTTTTTTACAAATGACAGGATTTTCATTGGAGCGTGTTCAGTATGAATTTAAAAAATTCACACGCGGTTTTTCAGTTAACGCTATAAAAGTGTTAGAATTTGAAATGTTCTTGTTACTGGGAGTTCAACTTTCACCAATTTTTTTTTAATAGAGGAGAGATTATGAGACGTCAAAATATAACTACAAAAAAATTATGATAACTGAACCATGGAAGAAAATCTGCAGACATTTTTTAGAAACTTCTTTGAAAATAAATTGTAAAAATTATTGTTTCCTTTGCATAAAATTAAACTTCAAAATTGTATTGAAACAGATACTGCCTTTAGTCCGGAGGCTGGTAGGGTTTAAAAAAAAATTGGACCTCACTGTGTTTTTCAATGTTTCTAAGCGTATTTCGATGTATTGAATCGATTGTTAGTGGTTGATTTTCTCAAAAGTTGTTCGTTTCAAATCTAATCCGATCTTCAATTCTTTTTCAATATCCATCGGACGAAAATGTGATAAGGAATCAAAAATGTTTTTTATTTTACAAAAAGTTTGTTATCAATTTTTTTGTCATTGCGTTTCCTGGACGATTCTTATCATTTAACTTTTCACAATAAGGTAAAGCGAGGGAATACGCCATAGCTAAGGAAAAATTAGAATAAAAATGCATTGGAATAAAAAAGTAATGAATGTATAAAATCAAATCTTAAGCATTGAGAACTGTAAAATACACGTTTATGTATTATAAGAAAAACAAAATTATCAGTTTATATCGTTGTTTTAATAGTTATAACAAATTTAGCAACTTGGTTAAAAAATGGCGTTTTCCCCCCGCATGCGGGGGAGATTCCACTCCGATTGGGGCAATATGCCACTAATCTGAATACAATCAAAACCACTTTTTTTAATGCACACTTATGGATAAAATATGAATATTAAACACTTTAAATTCAATGAGTTACTCAATCACACTGTTTTATATTAAAAAATTTATTTTACGGAAGAAAAAAATTTTTTTTAGCGCAAATTCCAATAGGTCACTCATCTAAATTTTCTTTTTTATAACGATAATATAGCAAAGTGGCATCTTCCCCGAGCTAGCGTTTTCTCTCACTTTACTTTATGTACTGCAATAATAGTTCTTATAAATTTTAACAATCACATACTGAATTAATTGGAGGATCAAATTATAAAGACAAGACTGTTATACTTGCACTTACATCTTTTAAATAATCTTTTGAAAAGAAGTATTACCAAGATTTTAAATTATTATTCTCGGGTAAACTTATAAGTGTTAATATAGTTTGAAAAAAAAAGAAAATTTTAGTGATACTGAATAGTTGTCAGAATATATTTGATGCATTTAGTATAAAACGTTTTAAGTGAAAACGTTTCAAGCGTAATTCGAAATTAATTGTATTGTAACTATAATACATTTGTTGACAATATTTACAAATAGTAGTAAGGTCAGCATAATCTATATAAATTTACAACAGACAGACAGAATTATTTCGTACTTGAATAAAAATGAATTGATAATTATTTAATTTTTTTTTTATAGAGAATACACTCCCTATAGTATTCTAAATATAACATAAAAATCCTAATGCGGGTTCTGACTGGTGTGCAGTTGTTAACATTTCTTCATGTCCTAATGAATAAATATTTGGTGTTTCCTTCCAAACGCTTTCATATATACGCTGGATAAATATATTTTCATCGTTAGTAAAAACGGACCTAACGTGACGATGTTTTCAGAAATAAAATGCATACGTAGTCTTTTCGCCCTTTACGAGTTAACTTGATAAGTATTCTACCATAATTCTGTTGTTGAAGTCTTTGATAGCAAACGGTGCAAACGCCCTCCTATGAAAATATTTATTTGTCCACGTTGTAATCGAAGTCTTATTGCTTCTTGTGAACTTTTTTTTGGTGTTTTGTCAAGTAGTTCTTTTGTATAAATGTTTTGTGTCAAATCTTACAGTCTTAGGCCTTTTGTATATCGTGCATTGTTTTTATATGTTGTTTTAAAGAGTTCTTCCGTGAAAATGTTTTATGTCACAATTTGCACTCGAAGTCCTTTCGTCCTTCATGAATTTCGTTCTTGTGTTGCTTGAAGTTGCTTATCTGTGTAAATAATCTATGGCACACGTCGCACTCGTAGTCCTTTTGTTTATCATGAACTCCTTTTATGTGTTTTTTCAAAGAAGCCTTCAATGCAAAACTTTTCTGACACACATCACACTTGTGGTCCTTTTGTTTATCATGAACTGCTTTTATGTGACTTTTCAAATTGCTTTTTAGTGAAAATGTTTTCTGACACACGTCGCACTCGTAATCCCTTCGTCCTTCATGAACTGCTTTTACGTGTCTCTTCAAACAGCTTTGCTTTGCAAATGTTTTTTGACACACGTCGCACTCGTTGTCCCTTCGTTTTTCATGAACTGTTTTTACGTGTGTCTTCAAATGGCCTTGCCGTGAAAATGTTTTCTGACACACGTCGCACTCGTAGTCCTTTTGTTTATCGTGAATCAATTTTTTATGTATCTTTACATAGGTCTTTCTCGAAAATGTTTTTTGACACACGCCGCACTCGAAGTCCCTTTGTTTGTCATGAACTGTTTTCACGTGTGTCTTCAAATGGCTTTGATGTGTGAATGTTTTCTGACATACATTGCACTTGTGGTCCTTTCTTTCTTTGCAAAACTTTTTCTGAACTGTTTTATGGTGCTCATTTTGTTCTTGATCACAACTGATTTCAGTTCTAGGAACTTGGATAAATGAAGTCTGATGGAAATCATCACTTTTGATTTGTGACTCTTGACAAGGATTTGGTTCAATTGTCAAAATTTGTTCATCAACATACTCCTGTACATTTTGATGTTTGGTTAACGGTGGGTTTAGGTCCATATGCGACTCAAGTTCACAATCCGCTTCAGTGCTTGGAACTTCATTAAATGTAGTCCCATCGAAATCGTCCATTTCATTTTGTGGCCCTTCACAAGGATTTGGTTTGGTTGTCAAAACTTGTTCGCCTACATGCTGATGTGATGTTTGATCGAGGCACACATGCGACTCAACTTCATAATCCGACTCGAATACATTCAAACATTGCATACATGGGATGCAATGGAAAAGCAACTGGTGGCATGCCAAAGCACGTACACAGCTAAAATTAATTTGACACTTGGAACACGATGTCATAGACGAAGACATTTTTTTTCTTGAGTAACCGAAATTTTGTATTTATGACACTGTATACTTACGGATCGAATAGGCCGATGATGACTGGTTAGACCGACTTACTCGAGTAAACAGCTAAATACGAATGTAGTCACGAAGAATTGATATATAAATAATTAGTCGATTAATTGATCCAATTCAAATCAAAACATTATTTTTCGTCGAAGTGACTAATATTTGTTACTTAATTTTATTAATATTAATTATATTTTCATTTATATTTTTTTATCGATTTAGTTCAAAAGTTGCTATCGCATTGACAAAAAAATTAAAAAAAAACTTTTTGTAAAATAAAATAATTTTTGATTCCTTGGATGATTCGAAGTAAAAATTTTCTTACGTCACTTTTTGGCCGAGACATATCGAATGAAATAAAAATCGGTGAAAACTTGGGGTACTTTTTGCTTCTTTTTACTCGACACAAAAATGTACATGTTTTTTTATGAAAGAACTTCGATTAAAATATGATAATATCTTCTCTTTTTAACGGAGAAAGAATGATAAAAATCTTTTAAATCTATCTTCAATAGTTTACAAGGTATGGCCGAATAAACAATTAATTTCAAACGTTGAGAAACACCATGAAGTCAAAAATTTTTCTCTAACCTAGCCAGCCTCCGGGCTACTCTATCTCGATCGCACTTCGTTCTTCAATTAATTTTCCAGCAAAGTCATTTTTAACGTCTACAACTTGGAACGTACGACAGCTTACTCGTGTATTTTTAAAAACCTTCTTAACGAGAGCCGAAAGATACTGCGCGCTCTATTCGACATCATTAGCACCGTGCAGTATAGTAAATGAAAAACGGTATAAACAAGCACGAAAAAGGGAGTGAGAGCTGAGAGGGTTCGGGGATGGAGGCGCGGAGGGCTCGAGAGTGAGTGGTCAGCTCGAGATAAGAAGCCCATGTAGGTAATGTCTAGTCGCTCTCTCGGCGCAACACAATGGCTTGTAAGACTATACACACTTTACTACGTGCAAACCGGAGATATACCATTAGTCAGCTAAGAAAGACAGGCGCGAGGGCGTACAGAGGAGGAAGATCATTGTTACCACGCTGTCTCCAAGATTTTGCTCTTGTTCGATTTCACTAATAGGCTGACGCACTTTACAAGCCGATAAAAATAGTAGAGGTGCAATTTTAAGATTCATATAAATTTACCACGACAAAATCGGATGTAATGTTTTTCAAAATGTAGATAAAATACATGTATTTAATCGTAAAGCTATATATTCTCACAAGTAATCGATCATGTTTTTGGTAATCCGTCGAATTTACACGCGAGAAAAAATTTCAATTAGACCGAATGTACCGTTTTATTGTCAAATAGTCGAAACGTGACGCCTCGGCCTCCGTGCAACCTTCGAAATGCACAAACGAACTTACAACACCCAAGCTTTATCGGTCCAATTGATTATTCGGGGAGCGTAATTGAAATACGAGCCTGCAATCTATTTGCCGTTCACTTGATTTCGGGAATTATTTACATCTGTTGAGTTATCGCCCACCGACTTAATTATATCACGTTTAAATGAATCTGTTTCTCAATAAATCTCCTCTCACGGGGAGGGGCGTCTACCCGACTAAATATCGAATCATCCTCTTTTTTTTCTGCGGTTCGCAAAGTGCACGTGGAGCGATGTGTATACAAACGATGCGGTTAGTGTACACGATTGAAGGAAACAAGCTATTTGCAACGAGAAAAGAAGAAAGAAAGAAGAAGGACGTCTCGATCGGTCAGTGCGGCCACCACCACCGCTGGAGAATGGTTTACGTTAAAAAAAAATAGGAGAAGAAGAAGAAGAAAAAAAAAAGAAAAATCGAAGAGCTACGTCTGAATTGTGCTTGCGATGTATGGCCTCGAGCGTTGTGCAAACACACGGCGAAAGTATATAGCCTAGCAGCGCAGCGGAACGATGCACGCGGAGCCTCGCCCTTTTCAGCAGCACGCAACTTTACCTAGGCGCGCACGTATCTGTGTATAGAGCTTGGTAATAAGCTGCATCGCGTTCCACGGTGCTCCCCATTGGAAATTTGCTCTGCGTGCAAACGTATAGATATATAGAAAATATATTAGTCAAGTTGAGTTTGTTCTCGAGAGAGAGAGAAAGAAAATAAGAAAACTTGAAATGAAGTGAAAACATTTCAAATTGCGTTTACATTCAGTTATACAATTCTGTTTTCTCTTCGTTTAAAATGAATGAGCAAGAGCCGCGTCTTACGCGACCGCGCCGTGCTGTGACGTCCGTATGTTGACCCTATACTGGGCGTTAGATATAATACATAAATTATAATAACTGCATTGGAACCCGCGAGAGTTCTCAAAAGTTCGGACGATCAAACACGGAGTATGAACTGCGTGCCTTGCTTTGACATTGCGGCTGTAGCGGTGCCTGCGGCTTAGCCGATTAAGCTCGGTCGCTGGCGAGTTTATATCGGTGGGGAGTCGTAGAAAAGGTTTCAATGAAAATTAGGAAACATCTGTTTTTTTATGTTTCGATTGCATCATTTCTTGAAAAAGTATAATGAAATTAATAAAAAAATTAAAAATCGAGAACAGTTTTGAAGCGTTTGTAATTCATTGCATTGCGTTGATGCACAATGAATACAAGACGGTTATATCTCTATATAAGACTCTTTTTATTACTAAGGAAACTGCAAAAGTAATTAAATAAAAGCTTACAAACTATTGCGGCAGAAGATTGAATATTGAGCGTCGGTTTGGCTTACGTGCGCCTTTTTATGCCTACCTGCTTCGTGTAGCATAATATACATCTCTATAACATCTTCCCTGTAGTAGCGGCCATAGCCAAGGTTCTAACAAACAGATTGGTATGTCACTGGGGTCTTAAAAATGATTTGATCTATTGGAATTCTACGGCAAAGGGGGGTATGATTTATTTTTAGAATTTTGACTTGCCTACACAAACTAGGCTATATAAAAATTAATTTTGGGTATGTTAGTGTGATTTCTAGTTAGAAAAACTGTTTGAAAACTGTAGAATTTTTCCAATTCGCCAGATTTCATTTTTACTTTTTTTTCAAGCATTTTAAAATAATGTTATTTTAAGGTGTGTATAAGCTCTCAAACTATTTTCGTTTATTCTTGCATTACCAGTAATGTATGCTATTGCATTTTCGTATATTTTTGTGCTCAGCTTTGTGTGAAAAATAACTCATACATTTATTTTCAACAAAAATTTCATGTAAAAGTACTGTAAATAAAGTTCACTTTATATCACTCTTAATTTAAAGCTTTCCACATAAGTACAATGCGATGTGTAATGCCGAAACTGGCATTATCTGTTGGGCCGCCCTGACGAACCATCGTCGACTTGCCGAGTGTATAGTTAGTTATAAGAATCGTTATTAATAATTGTATTTTGAATATGATTTCATGTGAGCGCCAAGTGTGAAAGAATAGAACGTAAACACGCGTATACGTTGAGATACTAGAGCGTACATATGAACAGTAGAAAGGAGTCGAAGATTTGCCTTGAGAGCGAACTGAGCTCGAGTGTGAGAGTTGAGCGCGACATCCTGGGGATGTCTAGGTCGGATTGACGAGTACCGCGCGGCTAGTAACATCCTACGTCGCCGGAGTAAAGAGTGCCAGTGCCGGTACGAGTCGATCCGAGTGCGCGAGAGAGAACCAGCGAATCCAACGGCCGAGCAGACCACAAGGACAACCAAGGGTGGATCTGGACCAGGAGAAGATCTCGACATCGTGTGGTGAGTCGGGCGGCCCAGATCTTAGTCGTTGTATTTGTGAGTCGTACGCGCCGACGCGCCCACTAGGGCTACGATCGTCGCGTCTGCCGTCGACCGGGTATTCGGGTACTCTCTGAGGCCGTGTATAATGTTTATTTAATAAGAATAAACCTGGTAGTTGTTATTGTTATATGGAGTGTTTGATTCTTGATGGATGTGTGAGTGTAAAGAGCTTTCCTTTCCCGTATTGCATGCATCTTACAGGTAGACCCCGGACGTGCAGAACGGATCCACAGAGCCAAGGGACACACGTAACCGACGAGGTGCGTCGGGGTAAGATCAGAGGTTACAGATGTCAGGAATTGAGATTATGCCAAGATGTATACAGTATTATACAGCACAAGATCCTGAAAGTAGTGAAAAAATTGCGATTTTTAAATAAGAATTAGAAAATTACGAATAGTAGGATTTCTTGAAATTTTTTTCAGAATAGTGCCATACGGCGATATCATATTATTAATTTCTTATATTAGAATATAAAATATTACTCCTAACAACGAAAAATGATGTTATGATTTCAATCAGATCGATTAACCGACTACACTTTCATTCCTCATGTCAACATTCACGTTCTGATATTTACTCGAGAAAGTCGGACTAATTAGTAGCCCTCGACCCATTCGAACAGTAAGACGGTACAATATAAAGTGATATTACTACAAAATTTCGGTTAATCAAGACAGAAAAAATGTCTTCGTCTGCGACATCGTGTTCCAAGTGTCAAATTAATTTTAGCTGTGAAGTTACCTGGGAATTTCACCAATTGATGTTCCATTACGAATCGGATGATGAACTTAAGTCACATGTGCACCTCGATCCGCTGTTAACAGAAACATCACATCAGGATGTAGGCGAACAAGTTCCATCCTCTCAACCAAATCCTTGTGAAGAGTCACAAAATGATATCGACGATTTCGATTGGACTACATTTAATGAAGTTCTAAGTACAGTATTGGATTGTGAACTTGAGTCATTCATAGGCCTCGATCTACTATTATCTGAACATCAGGATGTACATAAGAATTTAGGCGAACAAGTTTTGGCTACTGAAACATATTTTTGTGAAGAGTCCCTAAATGAAATTGACGATTTCGATTGGACTACATTTAATGAATTTCCAAGTATAGAAGCGTATTGTGGACTTGAGTCGCATATATACCCCGATTCACAATTAACCAAACATCAAAATGTACAGGAGCATGTTGATGAACAAATTTTGACAACTGTACCAAATCCTTGTCAAGAGTCACAAATCAAAAGTGATGATTTCCATCAGACTTCATTTATCCAAGTTCCTAGAACTGAAATCAGTTGTGATCAAGAACAAAATGAGCACCATAAAACAGTTCAGAAAAAGTTTTGCAAAGAAGGAAAGGACCACAAGTGCAATGTATGTCAGAAAACATTCATACAGCAAAGACATTTGAAGACACACGTGAAAACAGTTCATGACAAGCAAAGAGAGTTCGAGTGCGGCGTGTGTCAAAAAACATTTTCGAGTAAGGCCTATGTTAAGATACATAAAAAATTGATTCACGATAAACAAAAGGACTACGAGTGCGACGTGTGTCAGAAAACATTCACACAGCAAAGACATTTGAAGACACACGTGAAAACAGTTCATGACAAGCAAAGGGAGTTCGAGTGCGGCGTGTGTCAAAAAACATTTTCGAGTAAGGCCTATGTAAAGATACATAAAAAATTGATTCACGATAAACAAAAGGATTACAAGTGCGACGTGTTTCAGAAAAAATTTTCAGGGAAGGGCCATTTAAAGATACACAAAAAAACAGTTCATGACAAACAAAAGGACTACGAGTGCGACGTATGTCAGAAAAGATTTTCTCGGAAGAGCATTGTGACGAAACACAAAAAAACAGTTCATGACAAATAAAAGGACTACGAGTGCGACGTATGTCAGAAAAGATTTTCTCGGAAGAGCATTGTGACGAAACACAAAAAAATAGTTCACGATAAACGTAAGGACTACGAGTGTGACGAGTGTCACAAAGTATTTTCAGAGCAAGGCAACTTGAAGCAACACAAGAACGCAGTTCACGAAGGACAAAAGAACTTCGAGTGTGGCGCGTGTCAGAAAAAATTTACACTGCAACAATACTTGAAAAAACACATAATAATAGTTCATGACAAATAAACAAAGGGACTACGAGTGCCACGTATGCCACAGAACATTTACACGGCAAGGCCATTTAAATATTCACGTATATAGATAGTTCATAACAAACATAGGGACCACGAGTGTGACGTGAGTCACATGGCATTTACACAGGAGTACCATTTGACAAAACACCAAGAAGCAGTTCACAAATATAAATAAGACTTCGATTAAGATGTAGGTCAAAAAAAGATATATTGTGAAAGAGTTTGTAAGAAAATGTATTTTAAGAAAGTACCAAATATTTATAAAGAAATTTTAACAACTGCACACCAGTCAGAATCCTCATTAAGACTTTTATGTTAAATTTAGAATACTAGGGACTGTATTCTCTACAAAAAATCTATTAATTATCATTTCATTTTTAGTCAAGTATACAAAATAATCCCGTCAGTCTGTTGTAAATTTATATTGATTTTGATGACCTAACCACTATTTGTAAATACTGTCAACAAATGTATTATAGTTACAATACAATTACGCTTGAAACTTTTTACCTTAAAACATGTATGAAATAATTTTTTGGATCGCCATATTCTTTTAAGCTTCATCTTAATTAAAATTGAGACACAAACATACAGCCATTTTTCAAAAATGTGTTAATGGATAAATTGTACCTTCATGTATTTTTGTGCAGATCAATTGAAAAAAATTAATCAGTGCAACAACAGTGCAACCCATTGTGATCCACGCAAAACTTAAAGTTTGGCTTTCTTTTTGCATTAAAAATGTTTTATCATTCTTATATGATTAATTTTTGATAACTCAATTGATCAATTAAAATGAAACTAATTTATTGAATATAGCTCAATAGTATTTGACGTTTGCTACTCTGTCATGCCTGTTATGTCATGAAACGATCTAGTCAGCAGGCCATACAATTCAAGAGTAGATTTAAATTGAATAATAAGTGTTCAAGTTGGTAGGTGGTTTGCTTGACTCTAATAATGTTTTTGCTCTTAGACCATCTAATTTTCATCGTCTTTGTGTTTCTAAAAATTTCAGATAAATTCCTGCGAACATATCCATTACACCGATTCAAAAAAATCGAAGGTTTTTAAAACCTTAATTTTACAATCTTAACTTGAATAACATTTGACAAGCTATTTATTCTCTTTGAATGTTTAAGTCTACCCAAAAAAAAATGGACAACTATGAGCGATATGTATTTCGATGCAAAATTTTATTACCTTTCAAAATCCGGCGTAAAAATTGATATTGCTGCATTATTTTAGATGTTACGAGCAAACATGTTATGAGCGACCAGTAAAAATTATTTAAATGGGCTAAAATTTTGTTGGGCTTCGTTTTTAGTCATATGGAAGACATTGAGATTGTAAAATCGAGATTTTAAAGACCTTCGTTTTTTTTGAATCATTAATATCCGTGCATAGTCTTAAAAAATTTATTCGTAAACAAGTACAATATTGTTTCATGAACTTTAAAAGGGCCATTTTTTTGAAAAAAGTATAACTTACAGTTATTTACACGAGAATGAAAGAAAAAAAACTTGATTTACATTATGGTCTGTGTTACATCTACACACATATGCTGAGCGCGAGTATATCTCGACAGTGTCAAGTCGGATGCGCGAAACTATGTTTCTTCCAAGCTCGCATATACTTATCTCTCTCTCCCTCTTTTATTATCGCTGATTCTGAAAACCCTACAGAGACTAGTCGAGCGTACAACTTGTAACGTATTCCCTCGAAAAAGTTACAGCGATGCATAATTTTTCGACTTCGCACAAGAAAGGGCCAGCCTCGTAGCGAAAACAAGAATCTAAATTATTTATTTTTTTTCCCTTCTAAAGTAAGAAAATATACTTCATGCCGAAATGGTTTGTATCGAAAAGCTTCGCGTGCGTGGGTCTATTCATACGTGCCTCGCGTTGACGAGCTCGAGTCCGGATTCGTGCGTCGCATTTGTCGTCTGGGACAGCTGCGGCGGCGAGTTATCCGCTCGGTTGTGGCGGCGTCGCGTCGCCTCGTCGCGAACTTTGTTATGCTATGTTTCGAAGGGCTGAAAGTACGGTCTAACTAGCTTCGCGCGTCATCTACGTCGCTTGTGCATCGCAGCGGCAGCAGTAGCAGCAGCAGCAGCAAGAACTTGTTATCTCGGGTGCGTCGACGTAGCTGCTGCGTCGCGAATTGGACCCCAAGTGTCAAGAAAATCAGCCAATGAGCTGCTCAACTGTATATACATACGAAGCCCCGTGCGACATTGTCACTCGCAACGTCCTATCTCCTCCTTCGCCTGTGTGTATCTGCGGCTTTCTCGGGATTATACGAGCTTGCAGCTTAATTTTCCTCGGCGCTTTCTCTCTTTTGCTCTCGCTCCCTCTCACTCTCTTTCTCGCCCTCCCCTCGCGCACCGAGTACTTATCTGCATGCGCTGCTGCTGCTACTGCTGCTATTGTGTTGTGCCCGAAAACCGGACCTGCTGTGGCTTAACCTTCGAGTACGTATACCTATATACCTGTGAAGCATGAAGCTCACCCCGCTGCATGCATCGTGACATATTTTGCTCCAGTTTTTACACCCGCCTCGGCGCGCATATATTATTATTATTATCATTATGTTTTGTTTTTGTTTTGTTTCTCTTTACGAGCTGCTACTTCTTTGTGCCAACTGGCTGTGCGCGCAAGCTCGATGCAGTCGAGAGATACCTATGTATATTTTTTTTACTGATGATTTCTCAAACAAACAGTCAACTTCTTTGATATCGGTGTGTTTTGTAGAGAGAAAAACTTGCTGCTGCGACCGAGATGAATGAGAGAAGCTCTCGTCGTCTGTTTTTCCTTTTTCTTTTTTTTTCCCACGCTTATTTACAAAAAAAAGGGATCAGAAGCGACAATTTTGCCATTGTGAACGGCGACTTTCAAGCTCGACTGCGAGCTTTACGACGTTTTGATATTTGTGACGAAAAATAATTATTTTCTCGATGATATTTCGTCATAATGGATTCATTGAAAGCACCGTGCGAATAACATATTAATAACCCCTCCCTGAAAATCAAGGTTTGATCTGTACACGCAGCCATTACGCTATATAAGCTAGAGTACATGCAAATTTTAAGGGCATGATTCGCGGGGTATACGTATACACATATACGTACGAACCCAGTTTGTTCATGGTAATTCGTTTATATAATGTATGCCCCGGCAATTTCGGGTAAGAGAATCGATGCTCTCTCTCGAACTAGCTGTGCTATGCGTTATACGCGTTTGCCATTCGCCAAAACCACAGCTGAGCGTACTGCAGTGAGCTCGTTCGCCGGGAACAGTTTGCGTAAATATTGTCTTTAATAATGTCGAATATAAATCCATAATTTTGCATAATTGAAACAACATTAATTCGATGAGGCTATTTTGGCGAGCAATGATTCATATTTAATGACCGATCCATACGCTCAAACGACTAGAATCGAGCTATATTTTGAAAAAATTTCGTGAATTATGTCCGCTAAAAAATGCCGATTAACGCTTGCGAATTTAAATTCGCAAACGTAACGGCTTCAAAATTATTCAATCAAATTAACACGTTTTCAATCAATTTAATATTTGTTCGAGTTAGTCAATGCTGAAACGCGAAGTCCGCGATAAAAGAAAAGTTACGCCTTTAAAACCTTTACAACTGTCGTATAAGTACTGAAGAAATTCTAAATCTGACCCATATATTATATTTCACACTTCAAACGATAGTGTGCTTGTCAATAAAAAATCGAAACTCATTCTTTCAAATTTATTTATTTGCATTATACAAAACAAAATTAAAAAAAAATCATGATAATAACATTATCATTGCTGGAGTTTATTTAAATCGAAAGTATTATAAAATAATAACGTATTTAAGCTTTTTCTAAGGTATTAAAAATCATTTTTAAACTGTTATTACAAAGTAAAAGTGATGTTTTATATATTATTGCGTTTCTTTTTCTGCAGTGTCACCGAATAGAGCGCGCCACTATTTTTGCTTGTGATCAAAGAGCCTAATAAAAAACAATATTTCGGTACGAAACTGAATTCGAATTTTCAATTTTATTACACATGAGTTTGTAAAAACGATTAGTTTGATAATTGTGCATGAAATTAAAATTGTACCCTGCGCCAGATTCATCAGATTTGAATTGTAGTATACATCAACATTTTCAATGATGCGATCGAAAGAGAGAAGGCGACGGGTTTTTTGGTTGTTTGTTAAAAAAAAATTATAATCATATTTATTTTTTCATACTTTTAACGAGCTAATGATGTCGAGAATGTAATATTTTTTTTTTATTAATTATCAATAATTGTAATATCTACGTAATTAATTGTATGTATCTTTACAAATATCCTCTGCTTCATGAACATATTATCCCACTGTTAACAATCGAAGTCATATACAGATATCATAATCAGGTAGAGAAGATAATACTGCGATATTAAAAAAAAATTTTTAGATTACACATAACATTTCAAGTTGAATATTAAATATATAAATAGCGGGTTTCAATCGCAGTGCAGCTGTCCATCAAAGTAAAGTGTCGGCTTGACAGTAATATTTACAGTGTAGTGTAAAAAAAAAAGTTACCACAGAGATGAGTAAACTCAAAGTTAACTCGCTCCTCGCACTGCTATTGATTATTCCATTAGGACGGCGTTTACTTCGACGAATAAAGTAGCCTCGATCGAGAGAAGCGACGATGCGACTTCCTGCGCCAATAGAGTCGGTGAAAGCTGCTCGTCGTCGTCGTGCGGCGTATCGCTGGATCTGTCGGATATGAACCTCGGGCCGGTGCTCGATAAGCGACTCTTGAACAGTCCGTTCGTCGAGAAGCTTTTCTTGCGTCGCAACCACATCGAGAAATTCGGGCCCGGTGTCTTCGACGATCTGCCGAATCTCAAGGTATTGGACCTGTCGCACAACAGATTGAGGATCGGGGATATGCTGTCGTTCGGCAGACACAGCCGTCTGGAGACGCTCGTTCTCGATTACAACGAACCCAGCAATCATTCGGCCGCTTCGAGTATCGCGGCGCCTTCCCTCGACCTGCCCGAGCACCTGGTGTTTCCGAATCTGAAGCATCTGTCTCTGCGCGGAGTCCGCGTGGATCTCTCGTTCAAAAATTGGAGCAGAAGCTTTCCGCGGCTGGAGAAGCTCGATTTGTCGGACGTCAGTTTGGAGCACGTCCAACGCACCGATTTCATAGGAAAGGTACAGCAGTCGGTCAAGACTTTGATCTTGCAAAACACCAGCTTGTACCAACTGAACGTGACTCGATTGAACCACATCGTGGACTTGGACCTGTCCAATAATTATTTCACCGATGTATTTTATTTCTCGGACCAGAGAAAACGTGAATCTTTCTTGGGTTTGGGATCGTTGAAGGATCTAAAAAAGTTGAATCTGTCTAACTGTCAAATTAGTAGAGTCGATAAAGATACATTCAAAGAAGCTACTAATTTTGAAGATCTAGATTTGTCGAACAACGACATCAGGCATCTGGACGACAGTTTATTTTCGACAGTGTTCGCCATGAGAAATTTGAATCTGAGCAATAATCCTTCCCTGCTGCAATTGAGCTTCTTAAAAAAAATGGGGAGTCTCTATGCGCTGGCGTTGGACAGCATGTCTAATCAAAATTTAGTCGAAACTCTGAACGCCGTGGATTACGTCACGGCCGAGATGCAGTTGCGAGTCTTTTCTTTGAGAAACAACAGCTTGACGACGCTCCCGATGGCGTACTTGAATCAGTCGTCGTATCTGAGTCAGATCGATCTGAGCGACAACAAGCTCACCCATTTCCAGCCTTGGGTGAGCTTCTCGGGCTTGAAAAGATTGAACATTCGGAATAATCTCTTCGCGACCTTCAATAACACACCTTTGCTGTACGGAAGATCGTTGGTGGAATTACACCTGGGCAACAATCCCGCAAAAGAGATCGATTTATCAATTTTGAGATCTCGGCCGAGCGCCAGTACTTTGAGCTGGGAATAAAATTGAGCGTGAAATTTTTTATTTACGTGCATGTCGTCACGAAGCTTTGTGAATTTTTTGTAAGAATTTTGTTTTTTTGTAATAAATGCAAATTTTTCAAGACTTCAAGAGACGAGTTTGACTTATTATTTGTGTAAAATGGGATATCGTTTTTTCACAACCATTGTTGCATCATGAAAATTCCACATTTATCTAAGTTGGTGAACGAAGACAACGTAAGAATAATCTACAATCGATTGAAAATTATCTTTCACTCGTAGCGATACGTTTCGAATCAACGATTTCTGCAGTTAAAGTTGACAATAAAGATAATAACATTGTTGTTCAAAATAAAAGCAATAAAAACGAAGATAATTCAAGTTCAAGAACAGCAGAGATATTTCGTTCTTTCATCTCTTATTCTTTTATTTCAAACGCGATAAAAAAACCCCCCTGTAATTCAAGATTTTTCGCGATTCGGAAACTCTCTCGCGAACGTATTACTCATCGGCGCCTTTTTCTCTTCATTGTTTTTATCAAAATCGCGTTACACCGAGTTCTCGAATTACATACAGACATGTGTCATCAATTCGATCTAGTTTAAGAATATATATGTAAAAGTACTCTATGATTATTAGTTATGAAAGTCGAAAATCGGTCCGTCACAAAGCTTCCTCTGTGAGGAAGCAATACTGCAAAAAGCTCATGTTGACATCACGTGCTTTTTCCTGCAACAGCCAAGCAAATATTGCATAAATCTTCGTTCGACAGTCGGTAGTGTATCACCTCCCAGAAAGGATCCAGGGCCCAGCTCCGGAAAAATCCTCTCGACAGTTTCTCGCACAGATGTAATGCACTAAGCTCCGGATACTCATCGGACCGCAAAAACAAAAACAAATCGAACGTGCAAGCAAATTTCCAGTAGTCCTCGTAAGTGAGTAGTTTGGCCGCATCTTCGGGTCGCAATCGAACCACTTCATCGAGCGATAGACTCCTACTTAACTGTATTTCTTTTGCGACCTTTATGAACTTTTCGTCGTCGTACCAACATTTTTTAAGATCAGCTGAATTCTAGAACAATTCGTACTCGGCGAAAAATTTCATGATCGTCAAGGTGTCACTTCGCTTCAGTTGATATCCTCTATTCTCAATTTTTTCGATGACGGCCAACGCGCCGGACGCTAGTCTCGCAATCGAACGTATTTTCATTACTTGATTTATTATGTGTTTCGGCGAAGTAACTGTCTGCGGAAAAAACGAAACTAGACAGATCAGCGCCACGTTCAAAGAGGATACCAATGCATTTCGGCCAGAGATTCGCCACAGCCAACTGCAATGGTGTCCGGCCCAACTTGTCTCGAGCGTCGACCTGCACCGACTGATTCACTTCGTCGCAGATTTTGAAGAATAGCTCGATTGTACGCTTTTCATGATAAACAAAATGGTATCTCTTGTGAAATTCGTGCAAAGGTGTCGATCCTTCGTTGTTGGTCAAATTTGGATTACGCCTCCTCTCAGCAGTATTTTAATAACATCGTCGTCGTTTTCGTGGAGCACAGCTAGGTGTAATGGTGTGTTACCGAGCTTATCACGAGCATCGACCTGCAACGGCTGTTGTTTTTCCTTGGCGATCTCGAATAACAACTTCAACATATCGTAATTATATTTCTTGCTTATCAACAAGTACAAAGGTGTCAATCCATCCTTGTTGGCCAAATTAAGATTGGCACTTTTTCTCATCAGTAGTTCGACCGTGTTATCTTTTCGCGCTTGTATCTATTCTTATTAATCAGATACAAGTGTAGTTGCGAATCTCCTGTTTATGACCAGAGACAATTAGGATCATGCCTTAATTTGAGGAATTTCTCGATTGCGTAGTCAAAGCCATACACGCAGGCCACATGGAAATGCGACAGTCCAGATTCGTCGGTGTAATTGAGGTGGTATCGGTTGTAGATTTGAAATACTACACTCATGAGATAAATATATTTTACAGGTATAAGTACTGCTAATGTTCTTATGGAGCTTTTACACTCACAATTTTGGACTATGTATTACCATTTGGACTATCTATAGACAATTTGTTATCAATCTCAGCAAAGCTCAGTACCAAGTCATCAACGAGCAGCGTACCAAGAGGCTGAGCGAAATAAGCAGCGTATATACTTCAAACACAAAAGTTATGGCTTATTATATTGATTTTTTCAGAGTCACGGTAACGACACGCAGTCAATACTCGAGGATGACTAAAACGTGCTTTACGTGTCGTTGCATCGATTCGACGTTAACGAGTGGTCCTGCCGATCTCCTACCAGTTTAATGCAGAATTAATTTTGCGGTTTTTGCTGGATTTGACGCTTGCATCGGAGATCCCCTCGGTGTTGAGTGAAGTTCGTCGAATGAAAAGCGACGCAGCTTCAGTTAAAAAAACTCGTGAATTACGCCTCGGGTTTCAAATTGAGCCCGAAGATGTACGGACACGTGACGCACTGACTAGCGGCTCTGGCAAACGCTCGAGTGCTGCTGAGCCTCGAGGGCGGTTATAACTTTAACTGAATTTAGATTCAAAAGTAGAGTATTTTGTAATTCGCGAAAGAAAAAATGAAATACATCCCTACCCACCATTTGTCAGTATTTTGGAAAAGCTACTTAATCTCAAAGTAACCCAGTTTTCGTCGTACAAGCTTTGAAATTTAGTCAAAAAAGTTCAAACGTTTGTCAAACATCGTTTGCACAGAAAAAAATTAATTTTACTATTTAATAATTTAAGCTTTCTCCAAGACGTTAAAAATATTTCTCAGCGATTTATCAAAAGAAAAAAGCAATTAGTTCGTCGTCCGAAAACAAGCAAAGTCATTTCTTTGCCGCCCTGCACAATGCTACACGGTGTATTTAAATTGTTCGAGCTATTAATTCTCACGAAACGTCCATGTAGCCATATATAGTATATATATACAGATGCTACTGCTCCATTGTAGTACATCGAGAGAGATATTATAAGCTCGGAAGTGGGAACAACTTGGCGGATTACGTATCCGGACTGCTGCTATATAGAAGTGCACTACTACACAGTCGCTAATATACTTGGCAGCTTTGCAGAGAGAGTATCTCCCGAGGCTCGTGAATTTTTGATTTCGCGCATCGGAGTCGAAGAAGAAGCAGCAGCAGCGGCAGTAAGAGAGAGGATTATAGCTTATACGACGATGCGAGATGTATGATGGGGTAGGATGTACTTTCGCTCGGCTCGGCTCGCGCCTGTATTATATATAATTATTTGCTATAAGCGCGTAGAAAGCTCGCAAGCTCGAATCTCGTTATAAAGCCACAGCAAGAACGTACACATGTATATATAGGTATATGATAATCGAGTTTTCGGGCCTCGGTTTCTAATGCATTACTCTCTGCTCCGTTGCTTATAGCTCCTGTGTAGAGCGAGAGAGTGAGCAGTAGTGCTCGCGACAGAATTGCACGCGCGCGCGCGCGACTCCGACCGATGAGCAGTTCTCGGGGGCTAAGCTACCTGCGGCCCTGTGTATTGCACACTGAACACGCACGACACACGTACACAGACACACATACATGGGATTATAAAGCTACCACTCGCCGAGTCACTTAAGTCATCAAGCCTTAGCTGTATACATTATAGCGTTGCTATAATGCACGGCGCGTATGTACGCCTGTAAATTCACCAAGGCGTGCATAATCTGTGTAAACTAACGGCTCTCTATGTACAATGTTAAAAAGAACCTTTGAGTTAATGCAGATTACATGTAAAATCAGACGTTGAAATTGAAAGTAACGATGCTGAATTTTATTTGAGATACTTTTACGTGAAATCTTCTTTAAGAACGAATCAGAACTGATTTATATTTTTACACAAAATGCGCGAGGAATGCGTTGAAGCATACATAGATTACTTTTAGCATAAACATAAACTAAAAATATTTTATTCTGTGCTTAAATTCCAAAGTTTTGATTAAAACCGCTTGAAAGATTTATGAAAACTTAATCGTAATTAATGTCAAGCTTATACCGCTAAATGGCGAGTACTTTTATCGGTAAATCTGCAAGTAGGGATGTCAAAATAATTGTATAAGTACGACTGATCGCTACATTATACAATTTCGGAAACGATTCTTTCGTTTATACCTTACAATAGCGCATAAAAAGTAGGAGAACAGTCACAAGCTCTACAATCCAAAGTTCAATGAAAATTAACATTGCTCGAATAAAATTTAAAGAATTTCACATCAAATTTAATATGATGATGTTCATGGCAAACTCTTTAAATTTGATTCAAATCTTATTTATAATTTTAATGCTTTTGTATGAAATTGAGTTTTTCTGCAGGAAAAAAATGACTTCCTCTACTATTAAAAATATTATTAATAGCTTAAATTAAGTAACGTTGCATACTTATAAAGGAGCTGCACTTAAGTCTTCATAATTTGAAATACATTCACAGCATTGATGTCCTGCACGGCTGTAAGTGTGTGTAAGTGCATCATTATTATGTGCGAGCAAAGGGTCATTATACAGAGGCAATAGCAATTCTCCAGCCTCGCCGAGACGTAAAATATATTAGGACTCGCGATCGAGCCCCTATACCTACCACGAGATGATTATGAGTTTTATCTTTACAGCCGCCCGAATATGAGTAGTATTTTTGGCACACTTCAGCCCGCCGCGAATACGATACGCGTACACTCGAGTTCATTTGCACCGAATCCTGACGAAATAAAAAAAATTAGAAAAAAAACGACACGAAATAGAAAGCCTCGACAGCGAGTAGTTATTTAGACGCTTGCATCGAGCACACCGAGTTCGGCTGCCAATATCAGATCCTGCTAATGCACTCACAATATACACTCGAAATTCGACATATGCCGTAGTTCTAACGATGCGAATTTCCATACCAACTAATTAAGCTTCTATGACTGTGCACGAATGATTTTTCATTCGCTGACTTATAGCTAATTGAAAATTCTAGAGATTAATCGATTATTCGATTTTGGTAATAA